TTAACCAAAGTTTTTTGTAATTTTGGTTTTACTTTTAGTAAGTTAAGTAAGTAGGCATATTGTACAGCATGTGAAAAACTGTAGTATCATATCTGCACCAGTATCAAAAGTAAAACCTCATAAAGACATAAATTAATAAAAGTATAATGAAAACAATAAAAGAAACAGCAAAAAATATCACGAAACCAAGGAGTAGGCAAGACCAATTTAGCAAAGAAAGAAAACAAATGCTGGAGAACAGAAGAAAACTCATAAAACAATGAAAAAAAGATACATCAGAATACAGGGAGACTAACAAAATAGCTAGAAGGATGACAAAACAAGACATTAAAAAATAATGAAAAGGCTTAAACGTTTTCAAAAGGGAGAAGGCTCACAAAAGACAAATTACAAAGCTGATGGACAAACAAGGAAACATTTTAATAGAAGACAGAGCAATATACCTTTTATATTGCGTGTGGCGGAAAATTTCTTTACAACGCAAAAAGCCACAACGAAAATATTGAATAAGAAATCGAAAGCGAAAAATCCAAAATTCTAAATGTTTGGGTCAGAAGATATTCCTGATATAGAAAAGGAAGAAATTCCAAAAATGCTAAGTTAATTAAACAACGGAAAAGCCGCAGGAATGGACGATATACTACCAAAAATTCTGAAGGTAGTCGTAAAACAACTGCAATCATTTTTCAATAAATGTCTAACAGAGCTAGGGGATAATAACACACGACTGGGAGATATGCCATATAGTCGTTTTGATAAACAAAAAAGGAGACCTATAAAGCTATAGACCCATAAGCCTCCTATCTCAGATATACAAGCTCTTTATGAGACTAATCACAACCGCCTAGAAAGAAAATTCGATGATAACCAACCTAAAGAACAAGCAGGCAAGTGCTACAGCATTAAGAACATCTTCACACAATAAGAATATAATATATATGTCGTTTTAGAACGTTTTTCGTCGTTGGCCGACACCTAATTTCCATCCTCTTCTATCGTCGCAATCCTCTGATGAGAGATTTCTTTCACTCATGGACTTTTGTATGGTCTTCTGCCATTCCAGTTTTGGTCTTCCTCGTTTTCTTCTACCTTTCGGTTGCCAATGCAGCATTTTTCTGGACCACCTGTCATTTGGTATTCGTTCTACGTGTCCGTACCAGGTAAGTTGCTTCTTTTCAATGTCCTGAACTATGGTGCATTTTATGCCCATTTGTTGTTTTATATTGTCGTTACTTATTTTGTCTCTTCGTGAGATTCGCATGGATCTTCTAATAGCATCCATTTCAACTGCTTCCACTTTTTTCTTTTGTCTGTCTGTAATTCTCCAAGTCTCGGCTCCATATAGGTGGCTGCTCTTTATCATTGTCTCGTATATATTGAATTTTCTTTTCTTTGTTATTTCCTGGCTCCCTAATATTCCATTTAGGCATCCTATTACTTTTTTAGCTTTAACTATTCGCTTTTCTATTTCTTTCACGTCTGTTCCGGTGTTGTTGAATGTGATACCTAGATACTCATATTCTTGACATTGCAGAATTTCCTGACCATCGTCCACTTCCAAGTTTCCGTTCTGGGTGCCTACACATAGATATTTTGTTTTATTTATATTAACTCTCAGGCCCCATTCTTGATACTCTTCTATCAGCTTTCTAATCATATATTGCACATCCTCTTTGTCACTGGCCACTATGACCTGATCATCTGCAAACTGAATAATAAACAGGTACCTATCATTTATCTCTATACCCATTCCATGGATCTTCCTCTTCCAATTTTTCAGTGCTGCTGCTACGTATATTTTAAAAAGCGTACGAGAGATACAACATCCTTGACGTAGTCCTTTATTTACTATAAATGTGTCTGTGAGCTTTTTACCTATCTTAATTCTTGATTTTGAGGCTTTATATAGTTCTTTAAGTGCCGTTATGTAGGTGTGATTGATGTTTGTGTGTTCTAATACCTTCCATAGTCTGGATACTGGGACTGTATCGTATGCTTTTTGTAGGTCGTTGTGAGGTGGGTTTCCAAATATCTAGCAAATTCAGCTTATTTCCTTTCTTGCGAATGGATAATATAAAAGCCGTCCAGTCTTGTGGAACAGGATGTCCATTTAGGCATTTATTGATAATACATGTAAGGACTTTAAAGAGCTTCTCAGTTCCCCATTTCAGCATTTCTGAGTATATCCCTTCTGGGCCGCTAGCTTTACCTGACTTAAGATTCTTAAGTTTTTTTACTGTTTCTTCAGATATCTCAACTACTTCTCCATGTACTTCAATATGTCTTGGAGAATCTAATATATATTCCGGTCTACTTTCTTGTAATAGACCTTGTTTTGTTCTATCCATTGCTCTGGTTTAATAATTTGGATATTAGCTCTGTCCTTTCCTGGGTTTTTGACATTTGATATAAATCTCCATACCTCTGAGCATTTCCTTCCTCCTATGTAGGTGTTAATTTCTTCACATTTCTTATCCCATGACTCGTTCTTAGCTATAGTGATGCACGTTCTTAGTTGTCTTTTTGTGCCTTTATAAACTTCAAGGTCTTGTTCATTTTTTGTTGTTAGCCATTTCAGATATTTTTGCTTCTTCTGTTGGACTAATAGCTCTATCTCCTCGTTCCACCAGTATTTCTTGGTATTTTTTTCCTTCGTTCCTATTGCTTCTTGGGTGACTTCTATTAGACTCCTTATAATGTTCTCATAAGAGTTTATTGAAGGTACATCCTTCAGGGTTCAATAGTTTGTTATCGAGTCGCCTGATATAGAAATACAGTGCTGTCATCTCTAAAACTATCAAAATTGTAATTTGTTGTATCCATACTGTGTCCGTTAGTATGGCATTGGTTTTTTGTTCCTCTGGGTTCTTGTACGTTTTCCTAATTTGCAACTTTATTTTGGCTCTTACTAAAAAATGATCTGACCCGCAAGTTATTCCTCTTAGGACTCTTACGTCGTTTATCTCTTTGTTTGTTTTTTGTTTGCTTATCACAGTCAATAATAGTTTTCAGGTTACGGGTATTCTGTATCCATGTGTAGCGGTGAATATCTTTGTGTTTGATAAATCCATTGTTTATTCTAAGATTGTTGGTCTCACAGAGATGTATGAGCCTTTGGCCATTATCATTGATCATTTCTTCTCCAAATGGTCCTACAACTGGGCTATTGTTCGTCCTTCCCGTTCTTCCATTGAAATCCCCTAGCATTATGATTTCTCTATTTCTTCCAATATCTATCAGGAGTTCGTCCAATTTGTCAAAGAGCTCCTGCTTAATGCCGACTCTTTCGTCCTCTGATGGAGCGTAGACTACTTAATGGTGATGTTATCGCTATCTAGTTTCAAGTTGATTAGGATATTTTCATCTACAGCTTCCCAGTTGTTAATTTTGTTTTTCCAGTCTTTCCTTATCAATATGGATACCCCTCTAGCCTCTAGCTGCTCTCATGTCCTTTGACACTCCAGTAATAAGGTGAATATAATTCTCCAACATTTTCAGTGTCACTTCCTTTTTTCTTGGTTTCGGTTAGTGCTATTAAATCGATGTTCAATTTCTGAATTTCTGATGCTATGATACTCTTTTTCAGTCTTATACCCAGCACATTCCACGTAGCGAGATTCATAGTCCATTTTCTTTGCCGTGTTTGTCGTTTTGGTGATCCGTCCAATGTTCCGAGGCTTCGCTTAGGTTTTTTGGTATAGTTTTGTATTTTTCCGAGTATTAGAGAACCAGTCTAATGCCTGGCGGACCGGGTCAGTTTTTGTTTTATGGTGGGTATTTTATTTTCCCACTACCCTCTGAATGTTGGATTACATACCCAGCGAGGTTCCCCTAATTCCCATAGGGACGCACCCGATGGAGGTATTCAACTGACAAATCCCCACACCGGCACAATAAGAATAATAAATGAAAATCCCAGCGAATATAACATTACAATAGTTTACAAACCAAGTGAAAGATAACAGAGAGGCGTAAGTAAGACCAGAGGATACATCACCTAAGCTGTTCACCCTAGTCCTTTAAGACGTGTTCAAGGAACTACATTGGGAAAATAGAGAGATCAATATATCTGGAGGAAACCTCAATAATTTAAGATTCGCTGATGACATCGTAATATTCGCCTCGAACGAAACCGACTTAGAAATCATGCGCAAAGAATTACTACAAGAAGCCAAGAAAATCGGATTATCGGATTAGAAATGAAATGAAGATGCAAACTCCTACATGTATCTGTTGCATATACACAAAAATCTTAAATATACCGCCTCAAATTATTGTTGATACGTTGTGCACATGCGCATACTGTTGGCTATGTGAAGGAACCAAAAACCCTCTCTTCTGCAACGGCAACCTAAGCAATCGATCTTATTGCTTATCATGTCACCTAATCAATCGAATATAATAAAATTGCGATAGGACTGGTTTGGCTCTTTTATTTGGCTAGAATTCGGATATTACAGTATCAAGGACAGGAAATAACACTTAGCAAAGACAGCAAAGTCAATCACGAGCTTGAAATTAATAGAATAGGTACGACTGGAATGGGCGGCGTATGGTAAAATGCGACATATATTCTGGTCCGAATTATCCTTGAAGCTGAAAACTAAAGTCAACAACGAATGTATTCTGCTCGTAGGTAATAGAAACATTGACTCTCGCAAAGAAAATCCTGAATAATCCGCAAGTATATCAGAGAGCAATCGAAAGAAGAATGATACCTGGGTATTATACGGATCACTAGACAAACGCCGAGTAGATAAGAAATATACAACAAAGGTCGAAGACATTATACCAAAGTTTACATTATACATGGAATATGCACCTTCAAATGGAATTCATGTAGTGAGAAACACAACAAGCATATAAGTTTTATTTCATTACATTTTTTGGAAGTGAAGTCCATGTTCAAAAAACTTGGGCTGCTCATTTCTTAGAGCATAATCGAATTCGGTTTTTCTATTTATAATAGGAATAGGTAAAAGGTAAGTATACTAAAAATACACATGAAATTAAAAAATATTTTATTTTTGTCAAATATCATACAAAGAAACCATTAAAAAAAAAACTAATACATATATAACACCTAAAATATAAAATTATTCTAAGAAATATTCACACAAAGCGGACGGAAAAAGTTAGTGAAAGAATTGTCTATAAAATAAGACTTTCAAATATAAGTAAAGTAGTGCCAAAAAAAATGAAATAAAATGAGAAACAAAGATAATTTGAGTTAAAAAAAAAACTAATCACACTGTTTTTTTATTTACATTTACCAAATAATTTTTTCCTACACCTAATAAAATAGTTATTTCTTGTATTAAGAAATATAATCCCTTGAAATACAATTATATTTTTGATCCTATTATTAATATTCGTTGTAAGAAAATGTCATTGCATATTATTTTGTCTCTGGAGTAATTATTTAATATTGGTATAGACCTACTCAGCTAGATGAATAAGTAGATTTCAATTATTGTATTCAGATTTTTAATTTACTTTTTCACTTGTGTATTATCTTACTTATGCTAGAATGAGTAAGTTTACATTATATTATTGGTAATTTACTCAGAGAGACAAAAATTCGTCTTAAGTAGAGGTACCCAAAAACAGGTAGCATATTTACAAAAATTTCCAAAAAAAAAAAACTGTTATTTTCATTTAGATCTATCACAGAATCGATATTTTTCTATGGACATTTTTTTTTAATTAAAAATTATTATTGAGCAAAAGCAAAATAAAATATTTCCGAAAACTGTTTCATTTAAACAATTAATAAATAAAAAAAAAAAAAACAAAAAAAAGTGTATAGTCTCAATATTTAGGTACGTTGGCCATTTGTACGTCTTTATTGCTCTTGTTCGATGGTGAGCCCACATGACCAGGAGCGAGCTGCAAAGAATTCAACCGATTCGCGCCACGAACCAGCCTCCATATTGCTACGATCAATAGCAAAATTCCTACTACGAAAAGGACACCGCATAGAGCCGCTTGTGCTATGGGTGGCACTGTTGTCGCTAGTTTCATTAGACCTGTCATTTCTTCTGGAAGAGTATCGAGACCCTGAAAAAAAATCGTCAATTTGAGTACTATTTTTTCAACTATCCCTTCATCCTTACCTCTTCAAACCACATTATTGGAAAAACGATGTCTGGGAACGTCGCAACCTGTTTGATATCAATGACTTGAGATACAGCCAAATTAATTTGGATCCTAGCTTTGGCTCTCATGGCAGTACCCATCAACTAAATTAGTGAAAATATCGATTAAAAGTTGCGCAAAATGAAATCAAAAAAATGGTTACTTACAGGTTGTACGTCAATGAAAAATTTGTGTTTTTCTGGATCGGGTGGTGAAATACCTTCTACGGCTGTTCTGTAACTATCGTTGGCCAAGTAGAAATGAGGGAATGAGAGTAAGATTGGAGAATCTATAAAAAAAAAGAAGATAATTATCATTAATAGGTACTAATCTAAACTTAAAAACTTTGTTCCCATTAGATTGTAACCTCTCAAAAACGTATGAGCATGTCTCTTTATTGAGATAGGGTTGTACAGAATAAAAATTTGTAAATATTTAAGGGCAAAGAGATGGTGAAACTCTCAATGGAGTTTCAAGAGTGAAATGGCAAGAGGAACAATCAAAACGAGTTCTGTTTAAGAGGAATTATCCCAAAGGCAGGGAAAAGAGACGCCACTCTTCCGAAGTCGTTCAGACCTATATGCTTCACGTCGTTCCTGCTTAAATCAGCTGAGAAAGTTGTAAATAACTACATCAGGACAAGTGTTTTAGAAAAGACGCCACTACATCCTGGGCAGCATGTTTACAGAGCGAGCAGATCAACAAAAACCGCTTTACTTGAACTCATTGACAGTATCCAAAGCACACATTGCATAATAAAGAAGTGTAACCATTAAGACACCAAAGCACCCTCGGTAAAAAACACCTGAAAACACTCAATGATACCAGTCCATGACCAGTCGAGAAAAACTACATTTTTTCCCAGTGCACTCCTGATCAAAACACCCCAGTTAAAGTGGCGCACCAACGTTGAGGGCAAGTTAAAAAACAAGTTTATTTTGACTGTACTCTTGTTGACTAGATAGATTTGTGAAGTTTTCCTGTGAGTTTTTCGATTATGGTCATAATCCATCTCACCAGCTTCGCCAAGGACACCAATTTCATGCACTTACGTATAGGTTGGATGTCGAAAAGCACTGAATCTAATGAAATGGAAAATAACGAAGACATCATGATATGATAATGACATTATTCAACAAGTAGTAATGTCGCCAGAAATGTTACAAACTCTTATACAGAGCCTTACTATAAATCAAAAAACCAATTTAAATAATTCAAAGTGAGGTAATTTTGCCAAATGCTAATGCACAGCTCGTTTTGATGGTTCATATAGCAGTGATGTGAATACGTTTATTGATACCATCCTTATTTATAAAGACTGCGTGAATGTTTCTGAAAATAATGCTCTCAAGGGTTTTCCTATGCTTCTAGGTCAAACTGCAATATGGTGGCAAGGAGTAAAATCCAATGTTGTTATATTTGGTGATGGTATATGTGCATTACGAAATGCTTTTGGACAAAAAAACTTCCACATCAACTATATCGTGAGTTAATTATTTTCTAAAGAATAAGGTAATGAAGAGAAAACTGAAATTTTTGTAAGCCGATGTCGAGCCATTTTCTCCAGATTTCCAATTAGTCACCAGATTTCTGCAATTAGCCAGTTAGATATGGTTTGTGATCTATTGAACTACAATATCAGAAAGAGAGTTCCTCGAGAGAATGTTGATACTTAATTTCAATGAACTTATTCAAAATGTTCGAACTGCAGAAATCACTCTACTGGAAAAGAAAACTCACGAAGAAGAAACAGGTCGGAAGTCAGAAGATTCGCAAGAAACAAAAAATGTTTCTACGACCATTTCTTGCTACGGTTGTGGACAACAATGATACATCAAAAGCAACTGTCCAAATCAGGTTCTTCTAATAATACTTCATCAGACCAAACGTTCACTACAACTGCCAAAGCTGTTGAATTCTTCTATCATTCTTCAGATGTTGATTCTCAAATTAAACCTATGGTTGCAGTCAATATTTTTGGTCATACTGGTCTTGCCTGTTTAGATACAGGAGCAAAGCGTAGCCTAGCTGGTGCTGCGCTTATGAAACTTCTCTTGAAAGAAAACGCTCCTTATATTCAACAACAATTTGTTGAATAAACTTGCAGATGGCATAGAGAGGACTATAACTTCTCTAGTTTATAATGTTGAAATCATTCTGAATGATAAAATTTTTTCAACATCACTTGTTGCCATTCCAGAACATATCAATAGTAGGACTTTACTTGGTTTAGACTTCATTGAACTTGCCAATATTGTGATGGACATTCCTCAGGGACAATGGCATTATGCTGAAACGCCACAATTTTCGTATTTATTTAAAGATGAGACTAATTATGTAATAACTACTGCGGAATCTACTCCAATGTTTTCTGTACAACTGAATGCATCACAATTGAGAGAAAATGAAGGTGTACAACTAAACCAACCCGAAAAGCAACAAATTGAATTCTTACTGCACCAATATGCTGAATTATTCACATCCGGTACTGAGCCAACACCATATGCAGAACATACAGTAAAACTGAACTTGAACTTCCTAGGATCGATGATCTATTACACACTACAAAACAAACGAAGTATATGACCACTCTTGATTTAAAATCAGGATACCATCAAGTCTCTGTCCGCGAATCTGATCGAGATAACACAGCATTTATTCGCCCATTTGGAATTTTCCGTTATACGAGGATGCCATTTGAAATGAAAAATGCACCCTCCACCTTCCAAAGACTCATTGATCGATTCAAATCCGGACTCCAAGATTTGACCATATTAGCTTATATAGACGATTTGATGGTATTATCCAGAACTTACCAAGAACATCTTTCTGATTTACAACGAGTTTTTGACCAACTTGTAGCTTTCAAGCTTCACCCCAATCGAGCCAAATACCATTTTGTGTGCTCCTCTGTGAAGTATTTGGGACACGTAATTACACCCCAAGGAATTCAACCAGATCCTTCTTAACCGCTATTCTGGAGAGACCACCTCCCAAAAATGTGAAAGAGCTTTTGTCCTTTGTCCAAACATGTTCTTGGTTCCGGCGATCCATTTCTTCATTTGCAGAAGTTTCAAAGCCCTTAACCTCCTTAACCAAGAAGAGAGCTTTTTGGAAATGGAAGAAGAAAGAACAAGATTCTTTCGACCTTATGAAACAACTTTTGACTACTAATCCCATACTCCGACAGGCTTATAGTACATTGCCTTATATACTTAGAACTGATGCTAGTTCATACGCTTTAGGGGCAGTTTTACTCCATGGGGAGAAGGCCGGGAAAGACCTGTTGAATATGCAAGCCGACTACTCACACCTGCTGAAATGAACCATCAGACTACAGAAAGAGAAGCCCTAGCAGTTGTGTGGGTTGTGGAGAAATTTAGAGGCTACCTGGATGGAGCTAAATTCATTATCCAGACTGACCACCAGCCAATGAAGTAGTTAATGTCTTTAAAATCACCTAGTGGCCAATTAGCTCGATGGGCTTTGACTTTACAGGCTTATAACATGAGAATTGAATATACACCTGGAAAGGTAAATGTAGTGGCTGATACTTTATCCCGGCCACCACTAGAAACGTCTCGGACAGAGGAAAATGAAGTTATTGTTGATTTGCCCAGGAAAAAAAAAGAAGACATTAAGAAGGAAACAGAAGATCTGGATGTATTAAAAATAATTTCTTGTTTCGAATCAGCGGATCCTGAATCAGTGGAAATTAAAACATGGACTGACCGCGGTTACATTATGACCGAAGGAATCTTGTATCGCTATGATCTTGTGAGTGAGATCCAAGAAGAAATACAATTAGTGGTACCGAAAAGCATGATTCCTGAAATTCTAGAAGAATACCACGATTCCCCCTTAGCTGGTCATTATGGTATTGATAAAACCACACAACGAATACGTTCCAGATACTATTGGCCAGGAATGAGAAAAAGTCTTGCCAAACATGTGTCCAGCTGTATTGAATGTCAGAGATATAAAGTGAAAAATCTTAAACCTGCTGGTTTAATACAAAAACCTGCAATGGCCAAGCGATTTGAAGTAATATCTATAGATATCTTTGGACCTCTTCCTGAAACCGATACTGGTGAAAAATGGCTCTCTATAATCGAAGACACTGCCAGCAGATGGATAGAAATATTTCCGCTCGCACATGCTACTGCAATTGAGTGCAATTTGTTAGTGAAACTATGCAGTATGTAGCACATTGTCTTGGTTTTCATCAGCACTATTCACTCCGGGTGTATCAGGCGGAGTCTAATCCTGTGGAACGGAAAAACCACAACTTGAAAAGCCAACTATCAATTCTAGTAGGAGGTTGTCACACTCAATGGAAGAATAAACTCCCCTCCTTGCGTTTTGCCATGAACACCTCAAGATGTGACAGTACTGAATATACCCCAGCCTATTTAACATTTGAATGAGAGCTCCGTACACCCGATGATGTACCTACAAAGGGACATGAGGGCTATCACTGAAAGTGAAAATTTCATTCCTCAAGCTACCGCTTATTTGGTAAATATTGCTAGAACCTTGAGAGAAGCAAGAGAGCTCCACGAAAAGTCCCAAGATAAATCAAAACATTATGCTGACCAAAGGATAAGCACTATTTCCCATTACAAAGAGGAAGATCGAGTGATGGTAGATATACACCCGATTAGCAAAGCCAAAGATGCCTATACTTCAAAATTTGCTCCACGACGTGATGATCCATATGAAGTTACTAAGGTTGTCACTCCAACAACAATTGAAGGTAAACCTATAGAGCCAACTGAAGATCCCACCATCAAATTACATACATCAGGGTCCTTATTCTTGAAACAGGGGAGCAGCGTTCCCAGGAAAACGAGTGTTCTGTCTTTATTATACCTAGTTATATTATCATTTGCATATCATTGAGAAAGACGGAACACTCGTTCTCCTGGGAACGCTGCTCCCCTGTTTCAAGAATAAGGACCCAGCTATGCTATGGCACCTTATGTGGGAAAAGGAGAAGTGCCAACACCAGTACGACCTATACGCCCACGTGAAAGACCCATGAGAAGACGCCTCATTGAAACTGATAATATACCCGAAGGTGACGAGGCCATTCCTTAGGAAAATACAGATGCTGATGACAATGAGAGTTCTAACGAAGAAAAAAATGAAAATGACGATGAGCCCAGATTAGATGGATGACCCAGACGCCGCATTAAAGCTCCAACTTGTTTATGTGGCGATCATACATCAAAAATTGACTTAGAGTATCCCCGAGGACGTAGGGAAACTCCAAAAGGGGAGATTGTAACCATTAAGACACCAAAGCACCCTCTACCTCAGTAGAAAACATCCATTGACACCAGTCCATGACCAGTCGAGAAAAAAAAGGTGTAAAAGGGATTGTCATAGAAAGTGTCAGCGTTGTCAACGTTGTCAATACGTATTTTCTACTTCAGAAATCTTTATTGCTATATTTTTTGCCTTTTGTTCAATTAGTACAGTATTTTGAAATCAATATTCGGGAATTTAGTTATTCAACGTGTACCGTATTAAATTTTTTCCCAGTGCACTTCTTGGGCCGGTATTCTCGTTTCCAAAAACGCTCACCGCTTTTCAATCGCTCGGCACTTTTATTGCAGACTTAACAAACACCTACAGAAGTTGGAGTTAGAAGCAGGTGTCACCTGCAGATTCTGTGAAGACGGAGAAGAGACATCTAACCATCTTCTACTGAACTGCGATGCCGTTAGTCGCTCAAGGATGAAGAACTTGGGAAGTGACCTTATACAGTTGGAAGACATTCCAGCGCTGGAACCGCTAGATATTCTAAAATACCTAATGGACCTAAGACTAGAGGGGCTGCTTTGAGCAGGAAACCCGAACTTAGCAGCAGAAGAAGGGGTACAATAGATCAACCTTGGTTGCGGTGCAACTGACACCTCCAACACACACATAGGAGAAATAATTTTAATTGGACAGTTTGGACATAAAATAAAGCTATCAGGCATACCCAAAGTTGGTAATCGATATCATCATCATAGACTTCTACAGAAAGGTAAGGTATCATTTCTACTTACCATATTGACACAAAGAAACGTTAAAAAATCCAGACGGAGCGCATGGTGGCCCTTGCGGACAGAAACACATATTATCAGGATTTTCTTCGACGCTGGCAAACACGTTTTTCGGCGGCGTGAATCTGTAGGCGGGAATTTCCTGGGCTCCTACCACTTCTTTTTCGAATCTAGAATGGGCATTCATAAAATATATGTTACAGTTTTTCGCCGCTGATGAGGTAAAACGATCATTATAGGTACTTACACCAAAGGCAGCTTCCTGCAAAGATCTTTATCGAAAATGTAAATCGTACTGTTCTTCGTCAAATGGGGAGGGAAAATGGAACCGTCCGAAGCCATTATATCGTTACACCTGTCTTCGGTGTAGTGAGGTAATTTGGGCATTCCGTTGAACCGGTCTATTAAACCGTATTTAGTGATGTCGTTTGCGCCAGTGAACATTGTTACGCTGTCTTTGGAAGTTCCATTTTTCTATAAAAAAAGAAGAACCATGATTACAATAATTATTATTGCATTAAAAGGGCAAGTACTCACATTATACATAAGTCCAAATTCTTCGTAAGGTAATTTCTGTTCCTTGGGAACAACGTCTTTGGCCAGCTTCAATAAAGGATCTTCGTAGCCCCACAGGAGTTGTCCCACGGAGACTTCAACAAAGGGCTTGATTTTCAATATGTCCATTATACTGGCCATGGCAAGCCGTAGAAATCTTGCTGCGTGTTTAGATTGCGACGTCGCACTCTAAAAAATTTACGCATATTTATACTTTTTGAGAAATCTTTGTTTCTTTGTTGCAACACTATCAACTGTGAAGAGTTTTAATTTTAAGATAAAAAGTAATCAACAAGCAAAGGAACTTTCAGCCCTGCTGCAAAAGGGTTACAATATTCTAAAGGTATACACTTTCAAATAATATTCAAATAATGTAGCCTCACTTTGGAGTGGAGCTGGCGTGATATTCATACCAGGCAGGACGCCGGCCAGAAGATGAACCAAAATCCTATCCCCATTAGCCTAACATCCTTTCTATTTAAATCCTTGGACCAATATATCAAAAGCAAAATAATTCTAAATGACAGATCGCTAGTTGTCTGGTAACAGAGATAGAAAAGGCATTTGATGCAAAAGAAATGGTTCTTGAAGGTTTTATAGCAATAACACTACTGGAAATGTCTCTGTTATTGCAAGCGAATCAACTTCAGAAACGAGGAAATTATTGAACAAATATTTTCAAATGTAATACCACAAGAGGTTTCAGGATTACCTGTCACGAAACGTATTACGCAGCAACACCGCGACTCCGAAGGAGGAGCAAGTCCTGAACAATTAGTAGAAAATCTGACTTTGGGACAGTTTTTGGACTGGCATAGAAAGTACGAAAATTACTCATTTTTTCATAACATGAAAAATGCATCTAACCAACAATGTGTAGAACTTTTAACTTCTTTTTTCACACAAGAAATATCCGATATCATACGACTTGTGCTAAACATAGAATTTAAAAATACAACAAGCACAGATAATATACTGGATAAATTTGAAAATTATTTGAGAAAGAAGGAAAATGGGAGAATAAGAAGAGCCCAATTCATGTCAAGGAAACAGGAAGAGGGAGAATCCTTTATGACATTTTACAGAGAGAAAATCAAACTCTTTCAGCTCACCGATCCATGTGCACATTGTTACCAAAGAGGTTTAACAGATCATATAATAGAAACAATTGCTGATCCTGAAGTACCTACGTAGAAAATGTAGATTGCTACCAGACACTGCTTCAATAGATGAAGTTATGAAGTTATGCGAACTGGTACCGAAGTTTGCGTTGCTGGAGAGAATTTTCAATAGTAATATAATTAGTGCAATGGAAATTATTGACAATTTTTGGGAAATTTGCTCGAATGCATTTTTAGTTGAAAAAGAGCACGAGTGCACGTAGTGCACGAGTGCCTTTTTCAGTTAAAAACGCATGAGTTCAAATTTGTCGAAAATTATAAATATATTTCCATTGCACGAGTTGTATTTAATGAGAGAATTTCATAAATCAAAAATTTAAATTTTTTGTCAAAAAATGTCAAAACACCAGTTTTCGCACCAGTTAGTATGCAATTATCTGATAATTTGCACTAGTGCAAATTATCGCGTAATTACAATCTGGTTGGTTCAAATCAACAATCAAAACATGTCAATTTATTGTTGAAATACCAGTTTTGACAGATGTATGAAATTCTCTTCGTAAATTATCATATCCCAAATCTGCATTGCGGAAATCAAATGAAATAATACAGTCTGCTGATGGCGCAAAATTCGTATTTTTGGGTACACTAAAATGTAAAATTACTCACGAAAATCGAGAATCCGAGGTGGTGATGTACATTTGTTCTGACGTGCAAGAAATTCTTATCAACCGAGAATCAATGATAAAATTTGGTATCTTACATCCAGATTTTCAAAAAATTATTGAAAATTTGAATAAATCCTCTGGAATATATTATGATAGCATAGAAAATCCGACAGAAGTCGAATTGTTTCACCTGTACATATTTATTTAAAAGAAAATGCCGCACCATCTGCTATAACATGCCCTAGAAGAATACCATTTGCCTGGAGAGAAGCAGTGAAGGATGAACTTGATAGTATGCTTACAAAAAATATAATTAAGCTAGTGGAAGACGAAGTATCAGTATTATGGTGGTTCAAAAACCAAAATTTTCTTTTCCACCTTAGATGCTACTTCGGGATATTGGCAAATGGAACTTGACGAAGAAAGTCAAAATTTAACAACTTTTCTAACACCGTGGAGAAGGTACCAATTTTTGCGAGCCCCAATGGGATTGGTTAGTTCCGGAGATGAATTTCGCAGAAGAGGAGATTTAGCTTTATTCAATATGGAAAATATAGAAAAGGTAGTCGATGATATATTAGTCTACGATACAAATTTTACTCAACATTATAAACGAATTGTACAGTTGCTAGAATGTTGCAGATCAGCTGGAATAACCCTTAATGAAAAGAAATTTGTTTTTGCTAAGCATGAAGTGACTTATGTTAGTTATAGAATCAGCAAAATGGGAATCAAAGCTAACCCAATAAAAGTTGAAGCAATAAAGAATTTTCCTAAACCGGCAGATATAACTGAACTTAGATTTTTATGCGACTGGTAAATCAACTGGGATCCTTTTCATCGGAAATTAGTAGTGCAGCAACTCCGTTGAGGCATTTACTGAAAAAGAAAGACCAGTACTTGTGGGCACGAGTTCATAATGAAGCATTCGATGATGTAAGAAAAGCGTTAATTGAGCCACCAGTGTTGGCACATTGTGATGCGTCATTACCCACAAAATTGCATACAGATGCTTCGCGTTTACATGGTTTAGGATACAATCTTATGCAAAAACATGATGATAATTGGAAAATGATCCAATGCGGATCAAGATTTATGATTGACACTGAATCAAGATATGCAATGGTTGAATTAGAGATGCTTATTATTGTATGGGCTGTATCTAAATGTAGAACTTATTTACTAGGACTTGATAATTTGTAAAGTAATCACAGACCATAAGCCATTGATTTCAATACTTAATGATCAAACAATGGACATGATAGAAAATCCAGGCTTGCAGCGTCTCAAAGAAAAACTAATTGGATATAATTTAACAGGTGTATGGATAAGAGGAAAAGATCATCAAATGACTGATGCCCTTTCAAGAAAGCCAGCATTGATTCCTGGTGAAGACGATTTATTGGCGGAAGAAGCACAAACGCACATAGTTCCATTTATTCGATTTCAAATTGGCTTGGTTGATAATTCCGAAGAAAGTGTCCAGGATTCGCATTTCAAGGATCCAATATTAGATCAAATAGAGAAAATAGCGAGAAATGACGAACATTATCAAAACTTAATAGAACAAATTAAATATAGTTTTCCAGAAGTAAAAAATTTATTAAAAGAAGAACTTAGGCCTTACTGAAACAATAAAGATGAATTAGGTGTCGAAAATAATTTGGTTTTAAAAAGAAATCAAATTGTGATACCAAAAAACGCAAGAAAATTAGTTTTAGAACGTTTGCATGATTCTCATCAAGTTATTGAAAGAACAAAAAAAAAGAGCACGTCGTACAGTTTACTAGCCCCAAATATCAAATGATATCAAAAACATTATAGAAAATTGTGAGAAGTGTCAAGAAATAATATCATCACAATGTAAACAAACTTATATAGTGGATCCTTTACCAAATTACCCATTCCAAGATGTTTCAGCTGATATTTGCAACTGTGCTGGAAAACATTATATGGTTTACGTGGCCCGCCTCTAAGGTTGGCCTTTTGTTTGTCAGCATCATAATAGAATGCCAAATTCAAGCAAAATTATAAGTGATCTAAGAATAATTTTTTTGGCTACTGGAGTTCCAATCCGACAATCAGACAATGATCCACAATTTGCATCATCAGAATTCAAAAATTTCTTTAAAAAATAGAATATTAATGGATGTCCATCCATTCCATATTATCCGAATTGGTAATGGTCATGCAGAGGCAGCTGTTAAAGCCACCATGTAAACATTATTAAAAAAATGTTTAGAAGGGGGAAATTTGGATGAAGAAAAATATGCTTCAGGACTTTTAAAGTGGAGAAATACACCTAAAGCTGAGAGTAAATCACCTGCAGGAATTTTATATGGTCATTCCATTTGTTCTTTGGTTCCAGCACATTCTAAATTATTTACTCTAGAGTAGGAAAGAATAAAAAAGGAATACGATTCGAAAATTTTAAAATTTACAAATTAAAATAAAAGCTTTTATGATAAAAATGCTAAATATTTACATGAGATCTATGTAAATACAAGACCCTATTTCCAAAAGATGGAATAAAGCTGGAATAATAATAGAAAGGGGAAGAAATGTTATACATTAAAAACAATGAGCGGAAGAATACTCAAAAGAAATGGGACCTTTTTCGGAGGAAAAAGCGGAAAAAGATGATGGTGTTTAGATTTTCGTAGCCTAGAGGGAAGATGGTGTGATATCTACCTGAATACCAGTACCTATAGATTTATGATGTGTATGTTGGATTGAAGTTAGTTGTCAAATGATAATAATAGTATATTGTTGTATTAGGAGTAGTAGTTTTACTTTTTTGTGCTGAAGCAGTAGGTCACTACGTTCGGCTCGCAATACTGCTGAAGTACAAAAAAGTACTTCTACTCCGTATTGAACACGCTATTTTTTCTCCAAACGAATGGGGTGAGCTCGGGGGTAAATGGATGGTTGAGCGGCAGTAAAAGTACGAGCGGCACCAAAAGTACTTTTACTGCCGCTCCAGCGGCACTAAAAGTACTTCTACTGCCGCTACGGTTGCCTAGCAGCATAGAAATCAAATTTCTACCACCGCGACAGGTGTTAACCCGCTGGATTTGCTTAGCAGCATAGAAATTAAATTTCTGACATCTTGACAGGTGTTAACAAAGTGACGTTTTTTTGACGTTTGGAGAAAAAATATATTAGTTATAACTCTGATTATTACACCCCCTAGTAAATCTTAAATGAGAAGCGGGATCAAGTGATACATCATTTTGAAGGGTTTTTTATTCCATACATGTTGGTACTAAATTTTAATCCCTAGGTTCAACTGTTTTGGAAATATTGACAGTTGAAAATTGCCTTTTTTGCTACTTTGACAGGCTGTAAAACCTAAACAGTTAATTTTCAAGGAAAACCGATCTTACATTCTTGTCTTAGGTTTTCATAAACTATCATTTGACACTAACTTTAAATTTAACCGGAGATTAAATTTTCATCCGGAATTTTTGATCATGGATTAAATTCGAAGTTGCTGTCAAATGATAGTTTAAAAACTTTTGGGAGGGTGAAAATACCCTTAAGCAACTGGCTGGAAAGAACAATAAAGTAATCCTGGTGTGGGTGCCAGGATTCCAGGGCAAACAGGACAACAAGAAGGCAGACCTTCTCTTAAAGTAAGGCGCTGTAATACCTTCTCAACTCCCAGCACCTTTTTGTGAACTAATGGAAAGTCACGTCTTCGAAAAAATGATGGAAAAAGGACCAAATGCTAACTTATTTGAGATCAATTCCGGGTCTAAGACAGGCAAAAAGGTCCATATATCCATCTCAGCAAAGAGATCTGAAAAACTTCTTGACAAGAACAGAAGAAACAATAAAACAGTCAAAGGTTTGCTCACTGGGCAGTCTGGTAAAATATCATCTAAAAACAATAGGCAAATCAAACAACGACCACTGCAGATCTTGCGAACAAGCAACAGAAATTACAGAACATTTAATCTGTGAATGCCATGCTCACTTCTGCAAGAGGCTGAAATACCTTGAAGGGGTACGGCTAACATCCCAAGAGGTGGGTACTTTACCCAGGAAGCTCGCCTTTTGGAAGAAGCCTACAAATATTTGACACCAACTAGAAGCAGAGTCACGCACAAAATATCTGGAGAGCTAAAATGAAATTTACAATCTACAATCTACATCGACAAGCTGAAAATGAATGAACGGAAACGTCAATATATGGAAGTGTATGAAATGTCTTCTTTTTAAGGGCAAAATGAGTTGTTGGATAAAAGAAGATGCAGTATCTTCAATAACTTACAACCAAGAAGGATTAAAAGTCAGCAGCTAAAGGAGGAGAAACTTCTGCTCAATCATACTCTTACACATAGTAATCAGATTCTTAAACAATTCCAAACGAACAATAATTTTTACTTTATATATTATTTCCTGATAAAATTCTTTCTTACCAGCATAGGAATATTGGGTACAACAACATTGTCATCTTCGGATCCAGCTGACAGCGATTCGTCGAAATGATAGATTTTCTCCTGATGGAACGTGACTGTACCGTTATCGTGGAAAGTGATATTTTTCTTTTCCCATTTTTCACTGTAAAAGAACAGGTAATAATTAAAATAAATTGGCCTAAAAGTGACGCAAGCTGGATACTTAAAAGCAAGTACCATTTCAACTTTTTTTATATTTTTCTTTTGGTGATGCAATATCTTAAGTAATTCATTCTTAAGAAAGTTTTTTGGTGCATACATTTCGCGAGAATTCTGGCACTTTAATTAATCTTAAGTGTTCTCATGCATATTTATAAATAATGATTGTCTTTTCATAGAAAAATGCATTACTTAATATCTAATATAATCGTCGCTGACGTTGTGTAAGTGAGTAAGAAAAAAATTGCAGCAATTTATTGCAATATTCGCGTAGCAAGATATCTAAGCGGTTTTCTTAGTCTTTTATAAGTGCAATCACCTTTTATTCGAGAAATTGCATTATATTTGCCATGAATCTCGAGCTATTCACAGCATTTTCTAGGAAATTCTTTATAATATACAGAGAGAATTAACTACTAAATGTAAGACAAAGTTAATTTAATGTCAAAACTAATAATTTTTTAAGTTGGCAAGGTTTATTTCTCTTTTGTGGGCCTCAGAAAATATAAATCTTTATACTTTACGTAATTTTCTTGACTGCCGGAAGCCGTAATTAAAAATAATATGTTTTTTTTATGGGGTTAAAGTTCTTCTTTGTAGGTAAATATTATAATTATTGTCATCGTTCATCATATTTTTCTATATTTGGAGTATCAGAAACAAGTTTAGAAGGCTTCTTTACACAATAAAATCAAGTTCCATAGCAAAAAGATTATGGGCAATTGGGATTTCGTTTTTATGTAATCCATGGGTTGTTGTTGATATTTACACTTAAAATAAGCGATTTTTGAAAAAACTAAATTTCATTGAAATATCAGTATTCCTTTGAAAATACATGTTTGTTCAATGATACAAGCCACTGGTATCGGTGATTAATTCTCAGAGGGGTATGGCTACACATGAAAAAACTATTAAGTTTTCTCACGCAGGAACGCAATAATTATTAGGTACAGATTATATAACAAAAATTTGAAGACCTATTGCAACACACGTACGTACAGAATTATTTACCTTCTTGGCCAACGCAAGTTTGTTTTATAAAAAAAAAAAATCTTAAGGCAATACATACATAATAATTTATTTATATAAGGTATCTTGGAGATCTGTAGAGTGAAAGCGAATTTAAGCGGGACAAATTTAACTTATACATACAGTCTATTTCAATGAATTGAGTACAGTACGAAGGTATTCGGGTATTTAACAATTTATGTCTATACCTACTAGAAAAATGAAGACTGATAAATAATTATTGTTCATACTTACACATAAACATAAGGTCCCAATTCGTCAATAATAGGTTTGCTTCCATTATTCAGAAACTCGTCAGCGTTGGTTACGTTATAAACGTAAACTTTTATCATTGGTACCACCGGTGGTGTTGCCCACCATTGTGTCGTCTGAGAACCTTCCCTAAGGGTGACTTCCTGCAAAAATAGACAAGATTGAATAATAAAGTTGCAACAGTAGTTTTGTTACATAATAAAAATGTTCACCTACTTTATTCACATTAAATTTTCACGCAATTGTTTATAAAAGTAAATAGCAATTGGCGATTGTTTAATTAACGGAGGCAGTTGGTTTTATTGTTATAATAATATATAATTGACGACCTTGGCATTTTTTACTAGGGTACTGTTCTTTTTATTTATAGGTAGCTGCAATATACTAAGACTGATATGAAACATAATGCAGCTGACCCATATGGAATTTTGGTAGCTGAGATCCTCACAGAATAGATAATGAAAGCATGATTGTATTGCTTTCCCAGAAGAAGGACAGGAGTACCTAATATCAGAAGCAATGGACCATAACAAGATCCCAAGAGAATTATTATCCAATCAATAGAATAGGTTATGAATAAATGAATGGATTCGGGATATTGTTACACCGTGTCTCTTTTCTAGGTGCTTCAGTTAATAGGATTCTCACTCAAAGCACCTCATCCAGCTTTAAAGCTTTTCTGAAAGCAAGTAGGCTGATGGATGGTTCTATGGATGGGATTTTTTTCCGTCCAACGGTGCAGCATGCGAAGCTCCGTGAGAAGCTGTTCTGGAATTTCCTCCCCTTTCTCACAGAACCGGCAGCTGTCCTCGTTGTCTCAAGGTGCCCTCTTAACCGGCAGTGGCCTGTAAGGAATCCAGTGAGAATGCGAAGATTGTTTTTACTCAGTGATATAAGTTACAACTCCTTCAATATGCTTTCTTCATCTGAGTTAGCATTCCAGTGTTATGCCGAGATATCCGACTTCCGTTACCGGTGTAATAGTAGTTCCGTGTATTCAGATATCCTTCATTCTAGGTAGTTCCATCTTCCTAGTGAAAGTTGCTTTGAGTACAGGCTATATGAGTTCTCATAGGGTGCCCTCGAACTTCCGTTTTGTTATGATGATATAATCGGCATACCCAACGCAGTATAAGCATAGGTTGTTCATTCCTATAGTAGTTCATCCACCACTAAGCTCCACATCAGGGACTTATTCTTGAAACAGGGAAGTAGCGTTTCCAGAAGAACGAGTATTTCGTCTTTCTCAATGATACGATGTAAGTAAGAAAGACAGAACAGTCGTTCACCCGGGAAAGCTGTTTCCCTGTTTGAAGAATAAGGACCCAGGGGTGAACATACTCTACCCTGGTACTCACCTCAATAGATCTTGAAAGGAATACTGCACTTTACACCATTGTCTCGCATCAAGAACATTCATTGGAAGTGACAATGAGTATCATTCTCCTTTATTCGTAGCCCTTTTATTTAGCAGAAGGCATTTGATAATGTAGAGAACTGAAACCGGCCATTATTGTAGAATTAGCCCACGCTACAAACAACTTATAGAATTCTACAATAACATCCGGGAACGTCAAATCTTTTCAAACTAATGGATATTAGCAAATACATTAGTTAGCTCATTAGCTCTTTGAATCATATTGAAATTTATAAAACAGTTTATTATTATCTTTTGTGTGACCCCAACTTGAGGAACCTGCACAATTCCTTCGTTTTATTGAAAGCAAATATAAATCAAAATTAATTAAAAAAATCAGCAACAAAAAAAAAAACTTAAAGTAGATAATATGTAGAACTTATATCTGCTGATGGTTAATTTTGCTTATTTTTCATACCATCTAAAGGTTAAGGTCGCCGTTGAGGACAAACCCATTTATGTATTTGCTATATTCAATACCGGTTCTTGTAGTAGGTACCTAAGTATTTATCTTGAATGCAAGATGTCTTCTGAAGAGAATAGAAAAAAACGTTCTCTCATTATAAATAACATAAGAATTCTAATAGAATTATAACGAACGTGCCTTGGATTAGTTTTATTACTGCAGTTGCTTTTTATTTCTTAGAACGGTCACATTATAATCTGCTTAAAACAATTATTGTATCATTTAGTTTTTAGTCGCCTGATTGTTATCTGATAGTTCTATAGAACTATGATTCGAATTATTTGAATCGTAACAAAACAGGTCACAATAACAAAAATTATTTACAATAGGAATGTATAAAATTAATACCTAATTAACATATTGTTAAGATTGAAGTTCAAAATAGCAATAATGTCAAAACAAAATTAGCTGATGCTTTTAGGAATTATTAAAATAGTCCCTGCATGGGTCGAGATTCTATAATTGCTTTATTTAAATGATTAATTTACATCCGTTAGAAAGGTAAATAGTTTCCTCTATTAAATTAAAAGGTGTGTTATTTAGAATCATGGATAGTTAGTCTAGGGCACCTTGAATGTATTCTCGGTATTATTAGTAATCGTTTGCAATAAACAAAAAACTTAGCACCAAATAGTGAAGAATTTCTTAGTACTTTTGTAATGATGGCAAATAATAAATAGACAAACATCACCCACCTCTACATTTTTACCTTGAATATTCACATAAGAAAATAAGCTCTATATCAGTCCGCAAGCAGAAACTTTCTATCATGACTTCAAATCCGTTGACTATACTCTCGACAGTGCAATAAACCTTTTTGTTCCTCTCAAAAAAGTAGCTAGTAGGAAATCATTAGTTTAACTATTGAGAAAAAAATTGCCCACAAAAACTTTCGCTCCCTACCATCTCAACAAAACTATCAATCATTTTCTAAATTGCGCACTCTATGCAAGTCCCTATCTCAGCAATGCTACAAAAATTATGTCCAAGATGTTTAAGGTTCTCTCAACAATGATCCAAAACAGTTTTGGAAATACATAAACTCTAAACGCAACTCTCATAGCCTACCCTCCAACATCCCCCTTGCCAATGTAACATGTGAAATGGGTGTGGATGCAGCCAACCTTTTTGCAAACTACTTCGGATCAGTATACTCTCAAAATCAACCAAAACTTACTAAAGAAACCTCCCTAAATAATATCAATATACCATCTTATGCTATTTCAATATCTGACATATATTCTGAGCTATCCAATTCAAATAGTTTCAAGGATCCTAGTCCGGATAAAATTCACCCTATTCTTCTCAAAAATTAATTATAAATTTTTCCATAATGAGTTAAGCTACGAAGCTCTGCACCAGAGATTAAGTTTGCAAACTTCATCAACCAGGAGAAGTCTCAAGGACCTATCTTTGCTTTTTAAATTAAGTAACTCTACATATAGTGGATTGTGCCCATCTAACAAGCATGGTCAACCTTCATGTTCCCCATTTCAACATAAGAAATCGTCTCATATTCCTTTTTTCCGCACAAATTATGGCATAAAAATCATTTTTCCCGCGAACTATGACTATTGCCAATTAAAATACCAATCTAGAATTCTTCACTACATCTGAACAATTTAAACAATAACTCTCACAGACTCACTTAACTTAATTATCACAATGTTCAACATCATTATTCATAAGACAACCTATAATTATTAAATTAATATTAAAATTATTATAATATTGAATACTTTAGTATATTGGTAAGTTATGTTTACAACTTTAGTGCCTAATTGTTTTCAATTAAGATTTTGTATTGTTACCTGTAAGTTATTTTGTAATATTATTTTGTTAAGTTTGAAATAATGAGCTTTTGCCCGTCAAATAAATAAATAAATAAATAAAAGGAGCATATGGTCCAACTTCTTATTTCCTGGTCGAGGCTATTCTTGAATTGCTTTTTGGAGGTAGAGTTAATAGTGTCAACCCTCAGGTGGTTCCAATTTTAGACTACTCTATTGATACGGAAAATGCTTATTGCATTTTCCTTTAGAAACCTTTGGATCCTGACGTCTTAGATTTGTGTTGTGTTTAAGGTGGAAGATGTCTCTCTCTTAGACTACAGATTAGTGATCGTTGAGTAGTTTATGTATTTCAATGAGAACACCTCTGATTCTCCTGTCCCTTGAAGTTGTGAGCTCTAATCTTGTGAGCATTTCCTTTTTAAGTTCTTACGGAAATCGGGAAATCTGGTTATATTCTTCTTTAAACTCTCTCTATCTGCTCTATATCTTGGGTTTTAGATAGTTTGGGAATATCCTGAATCAAGTTTTGGTCTTACATACGACTTGTGAAGTTTCAAGATCGTTTATTTTGAAAGGTCTTCAAAGGCTCACTGAATAAGGTAGATCATTGAATGAGTCTTTTTGGATACTGTGTGATATTTGTATCCCATTTTAGGTCAGATGTTAAAGTGACTCCTAGGTCTTGTTGCTTTGTTACTGATGGTATTTCCGTTCGTTCAAATAAATAATTAAACTTGGGATTGTTTTGACCAATATGTAGGGCTGTGCATTTAAAATCATTCAGAGGCATCTTCCACTCATGTGTCCATGCTTCAATGTTGTTAAGGTATAATTATTGTAATTCAGCTTGATGTAGCACTTGTAGCCGTGGATTTGTGTATAGGTTTCCATCATTTACCTTTGAAAGTGAGAAATTCATACGTACTTGAAAAGAAAGCTGTCTAACAACCTCAGAAGTGCATCCCTAGCTTCAAAATTTCCAATTTATAGAGCAAAAACCCTGTTGGTGTCTTGTCGAATAGGTACTTTTTCAATATCAAAATAAATTACATCAATAGGTTCATGGTTGTCATCAGTCAGGGTCCACTCATTTAGTCTGGTTAGTAGGTTTAATAATCTTGATTTTCCTGGTGCAAGTGAAACATTTTCTAGCAGAAAATGAGTGATTTCATTGGCTGTTATTTTTTGCACTTGTTAGACTGATCGGTCATCGGCGATATACTACAGCTTTCTTCCAAGCTAATGAGGAACTCTTCTGTGCTCATTATGATGTTGAGCATGTGAGACAATCGCTCTTTCAGTACTTGTACACAATTCTTGAAAAAAAACTGGTGTGATTTCCATCAATCCCTGGCCTAGAGTTTGGTTTTAGTGATTTGATTGCAGTTTCTACTTTTTCTGCTTCGAATATGATGCTGGTTATTTCAGTCCTGGAGTAGGTTTCTTTGTGTCCTGATCCAATAATGTGTATACGCTTTCAAATTGCTCTGCAAAGCATTCTGCAATGGAATTTTGATCCAACTTTTTGCTAAGTGAAGTATAGGGCCCTTCATCGATTAAAATATCAATAATCGATTAGCATATCATAATCTGAATGATGTGTTCGTGTTACCAAGAAAATATTAAAAACTCAACACTAGGTTTAGGAGCCTCTTCACCTTGTGGCCCTTGGTGAGTTTAGAGATAGGGTCTTCTAGCCTTATCTGTCTGTATCTCCAGCAGCGTAAAGCCTCACATTCGAAGATTATGTGGGTGGCGATTTTATTCTCCTCGTCACAAAGTCTGCATATGGGTTTTTCTTGAAGGATGCCCATTGTGTGAGAGTGTTTTCTCAGGCTACAGTGTCCAGTTATTATCCTGATTTGATTCCTGTTCAGTTGTAGGATCTCTTCACCAAGTTCAGGTGATGGTTGTTGTACCATTAGCTTATTGTGTCTGAGCTTCGGTAGAGTTTGCCAGTAGGTTTGGTGTTGCCTATACACCCATTGGTTTTTTTTTTGTTCTTACCGAAGATTTTGTGATGCAAACTGCCGGTTCAGGACCAGTATAACTGTTTGCTGATCCTTCTCTTGGCAGAGCATCTGCTTTTTCATTTCGTTCAATTCCTTTATGCCCTGGCACCCATTTAAGGGTTACCTTGTTTGCCATACTTAGGTTTTTGAGGTGTTCCAAGCATTTCCCGACAAGTGCTTTGATCGACGTTTGACTGTCTGAGCAGATAAGGATGTTTTCACCTGTGTATCCCCTCCTTAAGTTTTCTCTCAGACAGGAGTCGATGGCATATATTTCTGCTTGGAAGTAGTGTATTCTCCAAGAGGTTGACTGATGTCGTATCTGGGAGTTTGTCCATATATTCCAGCGCAGGTTCCAGTTTTTGTTTTGGAGCCGTCAGTAAACCAGACAATTTCTTGTTTAGGTGTTGCCCCGGTATTTCCTACTGGGATAATCTTGATGGCGAAGGGTTTTTCGAGGGATTTTTTTGGCATCAAATAGTCGCTACCCATGGTTAAAATCGGGTTTGTGACTATTTTGGTGATGTCGCATGACAATTTGGTTTTGGGTTCCAGGTTTCGTTTAGCTGGAGACGATATGCCCCGATTCTAGCCTCCGAGGTTTACGATCGTTGCCATACTTGCCGTTGGTGTGCTTTTCTGTGCATCGGTAATACAAAGACATGCAAGTCTCTGGATTTTGGCTAGCTCCAGGTTTGCTTGTCTTTGGTTTACTTTAGGCCACCATACAAGTGCACCATACGTTATCATTGGTCTTACAACCGTAACCGTACTGTATTTCCAGTGTACAACTGACGGTTTTAGTCTCCATGTCTTCCCAACCGCTCTTTTTAGTGACATCAACGTCATCTTGCTTTTGGTGGTTATATTTTGGATGTGTTGGTTCCATGTCAGCTTCATATCTAGGATGAAGCCAAAAAATTTAGCTTCTTTGCCAATCTTCAAGGTGTTTTGGAATAGACTGGGGGCGATTAAGTCCTCAAGATTTATTTTTCTCGTGAAAGGAGGGGTTGACGCGAAGTTGCTCCCTCGTGCACCATTCCTCAATGATTCCTAAGGCGTCCTGCATGAGGTTTGATACCGTCCTGGTAAATCCTCCCCTAATAACGACTATGTCATTCGCGTAGCCTAGGGTGAACTAGCCTTGATCGTTTAATTTCCTCAGAAGTTCGTCCACGACTAGATTCCACAACAGTGGTGAAAGTACTCCGCCTTGTGGGTATCCTTTTGTCACGGTTACTTTAATAGAGGTTTCAGCAATAGTCGAGTTTATAGTCCTGTGTTTTAGCATGTATTTGATCCATCTGCTAGTGGTATCATTAATCGCATGTTGCCTAGCAGCTCTGAGTATGGAGTTGAAGGAGATGTGGTCAAAGGCCCCTTCTATGTCAAGGAATGCCACTAGTACGATTACCTTGTTTTCTAGTGAGTTCTCTACTCTTGTCACCAGTTGGTGTAGAGCTGATTCGCATGATTTATCTGGTTGGAAGGCAGGTTGGTTCTGGTGACGTGGCCTCTGTGAGGTTTCTCTGGGACGGTAGGTATTCTCGTTCTCGGTGCTTTTCAATTAGTTTCTCTTTCACCTCCAACCTAAGGGACGATAAGCTGATCAGTCTGTCTCTGCCAGGTTTTGTGATAAAGACTACTTTTACTTCTCTCTAGGACCCCGGAATATAGCCTGTTGCCAGGCTGGCTCTGCACAACCTACAGAGGTGTGGTGCTATAAGGTCCACCGCCTCTGGTAGGAGTGCTGGTATTATTTTATCTGGTCCCGGAGATTTGAAACTATCATATGAGCCTATTGCCCATTTCATGCCATCGTAAGTTTCCAGTCCTCATTTTCGCTCCATTACAGAAAGCGGAACGGTTTGATGGGTTTCTGCTATCAGGGATCACTTCGGTTGAGGCTGGAAAATGGGTTTGAAGAAGTAAACTTAACATTTCTTCCCCATTTTTTGTGAAGTTCCCGTCAGCCTTTTCAATGGTTCCCGTCGGTTCTATCGGATACTTGGCTAGAATTTTCTGGAAACAGACTCTTTCGGAAGTGTTTTCAACTACGCTGCAGAACTTCTTCCAGGAATCTATTTTTGCTTTCCGGATTTGTTTGATGTATTCCGTTAGGGTTTGCTGATATGCTTCCCAGTTTCCAGGTTTCTTTGCTTTATTCAAAAGCTGGCCGCTGGCCCAGGACTAGAGTTCGGTTTTAGGGATTTAATTGCAGTTTTTACTTTTTCTGCTGTGAATATTATGTTGGCTATTTCAGTCCTGAAGTAGGTGCCTAAGGGAAGTGTGGGTTTAATTGTTTTCTGATCCAATAATGTGTATACGCTTTCAAATTGCTCTACAAAGCATTCTGGAATCGAATTTTGAGAGGGTCTTTTATCGATGGAAATATCAATAAACAATAACCATATGATAATCTGAATGATGTGTTCGTGTAACCAAGAAAATATCAAAAACTAAATCGTGTGGTCATATAGCGTGAGTGCGTCATACCATGACATCTTCCGGAATTAAGTAATTTCATATTAAAATGAGCAACGATTTAATGGAAATATTACATAAATTAGCAAAACCTTAACAACTATAATATGAAGACAAGTTAATATTTTCATTAGTTCATTGAAAATAGAAAGTCAAAGGACATTTAAATAAATAGTTATTAAAATAATGCGAATTTTATGGTTTATTAATGGGCAAAAATTCTACTTTGGTGAATTTGTTTGGGGACATTAGGCACGTGTTAATGACTTGTACTTTTTAATTGTTGGAAACATTTTCTTTCTAAAACTAATCGTGCATAAGCTTGCCCATATAGGATTCGTAATAATTCTAACAAAACCAGATTCCAATTACATAACAAACAAGTTCCTTCAACTGTATTACTTTACTGGGTGTTGTTTATTTTGTTAAGGTACCCAATTGAAATTATTTTATTTGTACAAGGCAACAATTACTATAACGGGGGCAATTATTATTTAATAATTTCGATTCCAACAAGACAACAATCCTTGCGATCTTATGGGAATTTCTCATAATTATTTATGCAATAAATTGAATTCTCATCACTATTTCTTCATTGAGATTGTTATTGTTTGAATTTAAATAGATTGTGTGAAAGTAAAATCTGATAATTGAAAACTAGTTTAATAGACTAATTATTATCAAACCGCCAAGTTTTGTTAATTAATAAAATACGCCACAGATAAAATTTACTCACGTGATTTACGACTAAATTCACCCAGCTCATAAAGAATATTTCGACGATAATTCCGAAGAAGATAATTCCTAAGGACACAGCCACGACGAACCCTGGAATAAAAATAAATAAAAATTAATAAAAAACTATATAAAATAATATCAGGTTTGCTTAGATACCCCATTTTAATAAATAGTATGTGAATTTTTTGGGCACAGTCAAAAACGTAACTAAAGAATGGCCTATATAAGAACAGTAAACGAGAAACATAGTTTTAAAAATTTTGTAAAGTTGACATTTTAAGTATAACCATATTTTTTGACAATATTTAAATATGGTCAAAATGTAGAATATTTTCCAGGTGTTAAAATCTGAAGTTGTAGAAAATGCAATAAGTGTGATTGTGCTTTTCAAGACATAATAATATCGTTCTCATTCATTGAATATATCACTAGTTCTGGTATATTTTGGAGACATGACACCAGTTACTGTTAGGCCTCTGTAGAATTATTAGGTTCGAAACCGGGTTGTAGCTAGTGAAGTATCCAATGAATGGAAACAACAATCATATCATTAATATTGCAAAATCATACAAAAGTATAATGCATCAGCAGAAAGTAATAGTAGCAATATGTATTATTGTACATTGACAAATACAGAAATTATTATATTATGAATAGAAGATAAGTATGTTTGAATTAAAGCAGACGAATGATTTGCCGTATTTGTGCTTTAAAGGAAAGTTATGCAAGAAATGAGAAATTTATGCGTTTGGTATATAGCTTTCACATTTCGTTACCTCAGTTTGATATAAAAGAAATCAGAAGAGACCTGTTTAACCAACTTAATAATTATTCTACTGCAGACTGCAGTTTTTGATCAAAGAATATAGTTTTCATTTTTAAAAAATTTTGCACAATAGGAATATTCTTTAATCAGAAGTCATTATACCATTATTGGGCTATTTTAAGCCAAAACTATGAAAATCTTTAAGAAAGTCACCATTCGAAACCACGCCCAATCAATGTAGAGCGCATTGAGTTCACCCACCCATTAAATTATTTAATTCAACATGGTACGTTCAATTTCAACCTTGGATTTCAATTATTATTTTTTAATTTGGCATACAAAAAGGCCATAAGTAGCCACAGGAAACTTTGATTATTGATTAATTCATCTTATATACCGACTTTTATTAACAGGATGTCAAGATTTTATTATTCTCAGGATAATCTCCTTATTATTTTCACGTAGAATCGCATTGGCGAACAACATGCTTCTGATTTTGGAATAGTAAAAAAAGTGATGTATTTTTAAGAGACGGTTTATTCGCCTTCTGATAAATTGTCAGCTATGCAATCTGACATATAAAAACGTAATATGTAATCCCATTGGCCAGCCAGTTATACCATAAGTAGCCACCAGGAAATTTTGATTATTGAATAATTCACCAGCGATGTCTAGAAATGCGACTTCTGGACGATGATATGCTTCAGTTGAACGAATTGAAACAACTTATGTTGGACTTGATGTTAAACTCAGTTGACGAGGAAGCAAGTATGAATTGTGCAGTAGAATTCATGGATGAGTTGAACTTTAGATACCACAATATCAAATTTAACTTTGATAGGATGTCTAAGGAAGATACAAGCTCTCAGAAATCAGAATATAAATCTAAACTAAAACTGAATTTAGGTAGTTTGGAGAAGACATCAAGAGTTGGCTTAGTTTTTGGAACCAATTTAGTCGAATTGATGAAGATTCTGACATAGAAGTTGAGGATAAGCTGCAAAATTTAGTGCAGGCTATGACTCCAGGTTCTCGAGCAAGACAGCTGGTTGAGAGTTACCCGGCTACTAAAGGCAGTTGCAGTTGACAGTCCGAAACAGAGATTTAGAAGAGAAGATCTGTTAATGGAAGCTTATGAGAGAGAACTTCTTATGTCGGTCTCAACAAATCTCAATACAAAAATGTCATTCTTCTACACGTTTTGGCCATGTTTTCCGGAGGTGTCGTTTAAAAGCAAAATGTCCCACCTGTCAAGGAAAACATCACAAAGTTATGTGCCCGAAAGAAAATGTGTAAGTCCTCAAACTTCAATGATACGAATGCTAAAAACCAAAATTCCAAAACCAGTGAACAAAATCTCAGTAACCACACTTATCCCGAAGTTTTTCTGCAAACCATGGTTGTTGAATTGAAAGGGGAGAGAGAATCACGTAGAGTGAGACTTCTTATCGATACTGGTTCACATAAGTCATATATAACAAAAAGTTGGCTAAAGAAGTAGGTATATATAACAAAAAAGTTGGCTGAAGAAGTAGGCTACAAACCGATTAGAAAGGGACAGCTAGTTCACTCACTGTTCGGAGGAAGTCAAACCGAAACTGTAAATCACATATGCTACAAGGTTCGTCTGTATAGTCTAAAATGAAGTTTTGGATCAGCCACTACTATGAATGGACTCATCGATGTATTGGTAGGCGCTGATGTAGCTGGAAAGTTATTTTCGGGACGTAAACATGATTTAGAGTGCGGATTGGTCGCAGTTCATACATTACTAGGCTGGACGCCTATAGGTAAACTGAAGCCAACTTACAAAACGAAAACATCGTTACTTGTAACTTCTTTGTTTTCAAAAGATTTTGACCTACCTAACTCATGGAATTCAGATGTTCTTGGAATTCAAGACCCTGTAAAAAACAAATCTCAAAAGGAACAAGAAGCATTGGTCATGGAACATTTTTTGTCAACACTGAAGCAAAAAGATAAACGATATGAAGTAAGTATGCCGTGGCTTGGAGGTCACTTTCCTTTGCCACCTAATTTTGATTTGTCATACAAAAGACTTCTTAACACCACGAAAATGTTGAAAAAAGATCATTTTTACAATGCTTATGATGAGGTCTTTCCGTGCGTTCGGTATTTTGCTCAAAGAGCAGAGCGTGCAGAGCGGAGCCATAATCACTTGACCAGCGAGCGAACAGAGTAGTTGAACGCTGTATCAGAGTGCCCAAAACTTTAATAAACGAACGCTAATGAGCCTGCACCGAGTACACTTTTCAAATAAACGAACGGTAAATTAAACTCGGAGAACTCAGATCAAAATAACGAACGCACGGTTTGATAATTGATTAGCAGATGGAGTGATAGAACCATTACCAGATAAGAATACGAACTTTTTGAAATTTTATGTCAGTCTGGTCTAGCCATCCAGTTTACAAACCTAGTAGTGCCACAACATCTGTACGACCGGTTTTTGATGCGTCATCAAGAGAAAAAAGTCAACCATACCATCTCTGAATCAATGTATGGAAAAGGGTATCAATTTTTGAATTGTTCCCTTCCATGATTTTACATTTTCAAACAGAGAAAGATTGGAGTAACTGCTGATATAAAAAAGGCATGCGTTTCTTCAGATCAGCTTACAAGAAAGTGATCGAAATTTGTTAGAGATCTTGTGGTATGATAAAGACGACACCTTAGAAATATTTGGACATACATGAGTGGTATTTAAAGTATCATGCAGTCCTTTTCTTTTAGGAGCAGTTATAGACTACCACCTTGAGGAATCTTTCAAAAAATCAGAACGCGAAGAAGTAATCTACAGTCGTGATGTTATTTCTAAATTAATGAAGTCTTTTTACGTTGACAATATTCTAGCAAGCGTATCAGATAAAGAAGCTCTAAAGTCTAAACCAATTAATTGAACAGTCTATACGTCAATTTTGGCTGATGGTAAATTTGAACTTAGAGGGTGGGAGTTGAAGAAAGAAGCAACATTCTTGGACTTCTTTGTAACAGAAATTTGGACACTTTGGAACTTTCAATACATATTTTTGATAAACTCGATATACGACAGGTAACCAAACGAATTATTTTATCTATAACTCATAAGTTGTTTGACCCTATTGGCTTTTCGCGTCCAGTGACGTTGATTTCCAAACTTTTGCTCCAAAAGAAATGGTCTTCGAATTTGGGATGGGACGTTGAGGTCACTGGGGAAATTCCTCGGTGGATAGCTACAGATTTTAAAAAATCGACTACTCAGTCTTTACATGTCTTCTGTGATGCAAGTGCCGACGCTTATGCAGCTCGTATTTTTTTAAGGACAGAAGTAGATGAAGGTCAGGTTTGTTTAAGACTAATTGAAGCAAAATCTAGAGTAGCACCTGTCAAGAAGTTAACTATACCTCGTCCTGAACTTTTAGCTGCTACCATTGGTGTACGATTACCTATTTCATAACTTTTAGAATAATCACGGTTTAAAACTTGAAGTTTTCTTTTGGTCAGATCCATCAACAGTTTTATCTTGGATTAGGAGAGAAGACCAATGGAAACCATTCATCTGGAATCGTGTGGAAGAAATTAAAAAGTTTACCAAACTGAAGATTGGTACCATGTTCCTGGTCAATTGAACCCCGCAGATCTTCTTTCAAGAGGCTTTTCTGCGAAAGCACTTGCTGAAAGAAGATAGTCGGAGGGACCTCGATGGTTACTTGAAGAAGAAGTTAGTAAGGGAAAAAGAAAGACTGTAGTTTCTTCTTTGATTGTTTGTAACCAAAGATTTTTTATGGTATTACCTGTATTTCTCAAAATTCAACCAAATAGCCAACATGATTGCGTGGATGCTACGATTTGTCAATAACTGCAGAAAGAAGATTACCGAAAACAATAAGTTTTTGAAACCAAAAGAATTAGAAGTGTCAAGAAAAGTGGTCATTTGTTTTATACAAGAAGAAAGATGTTGAAACTGTCACCTTTATGTCCGTTTATCGATGAGACAGGTTAATCAGGGTACGTACTAAGATATAGGACAGAATTGATGCAGAAAACTTTCGTATACCGTATGTTTTACCCTCAAGAACACAGTAAAAACAACCATGTTGGTATACAAGGATTGATGAGCATTTTACGAGAAAACTATTGGATTCTTCAATGCAGACGTACTGTTAAATCAATTAATAATAGATGTACTATATGTAAACATTTTAGAGGTAAATTGTTAGACACTCCTTCCATATGTTTACTGGAGAACAGAGTACGGGATGCTGCAGTGTTCGAGATTATCGGAATAGATTTAGCTGGCCCTTTACACCTCAAATCTAACCAA